ATATATATAGAGAGAGAGAGAGAGAGAGAGAGAGAGAGAGAGAGAAAACTGTGTATGAGCTGCCAGCTCTCCGTTTTCGTGCGCTGCAGGGGTTTTTTCGAAAAAAAACCCACCCGCATTTATCCCCTCCGTGACCTTCTCTCTAATATTATATATATATATATATATATATATATATGAGAGAGAGAGAAAACTGTGTATGAGCTGCCAGCTCTCCGTTTTCGTGCGCTGCATGGGTTTTTTCGAAAAAAAACCCACCCGCATTTATCCCCTCCGTGACCTTCTCTCTCTCTCTCTCATCAAATCTCTATCTTCTCCCCAAATCTCTCTCAAATCTGAGCACGAAAAAACCGAAGATCCGCTCCCCCCATCCTCGCCCCAAACTCCATCCCCTCTCATCCCCCAACTCTGCCACGACACCCGCCGTCGAGTTGCTTCAAGCTAGGGTTTGATTGTGCTTCGGGTAGAAAAGCCGTCGTCAGGAAGAACACAATCGTCTTAAGGAAGAGAGGGAGGACCGTATCACTCCATCCCCTCTCATCCCCCAACTCTGCCACGACACCCGCCGTCGAGTTGCTTCAAGCTAGGGTTTGATTGTGCTTCGGGTAGAAAAGCCGTCGTCAGGAAGAACACAATCGTCTTAAGGAAGAGAGGGAGGACCGTATCAACCATGTAATTTCATCAAGGAGGCATGAAAGAGAGATCAAGAGGAAGCTGCTTTTCTACCTGAAGTCTAAGGAAGAGAGACTGACCAGGCAGCGTGAAGAGGAGGAAGCATGGAGGCGTGAAGGTATTGCTTCCTGAAATTTCCTCTTCCTTTCCTTGAGTTCGTCACAGAAAATCATGTCAATTTCTAATCCTTGTAAAGTAGTTTTAGGAAGCTATGTAGAATCATGAAGAAATATCCATGTTCCCTTATTTTTTTGACTTCACACTTCTTCAATTTTTGGGGACGATTCACAATTCAACATATTGAAATTTTACAACCACGTTTATGTCCTGAACATACCAAAGGTCCATATTCCTAGGATCTGTTGAACATCCTATATCTTGAAAGTGTGAATTACTGACATTTCTCTAGCATAAACATTGATGACTCTTAAGGAAAAGCATTTTTATACACAAAATTCTAAACTTTGCTCCAATTTCGGTGCCATAATATGCCCAACTAAATAAGAGATGTTGGCTGCCATAACAAACACAAGGGCTTGGTACCTCTTATTCCCTTGTTCTTTCTCAAGATCCTTATGGGTAATCCTTGTACTCTCTGCAATTGTGCATATAGATTCTTTTCTCTCCCTCTTATAAATTTAATGCTCTGAAATCTTGCAGAAATTATGTAGTACAATATGTACTTGATCAGAAGGTCCCATGGGTAATCACTGTTGTAGTGGATCAATTAGAGGGAAATTTTGGTTTTTTATAAATCCAGAAGCATAGCAGCACTGTGGTGGAGAAATGCTTAAACCTTGTAAAAGAGGAAGATCGTATTAAAATCATCAAGGAATTAATGAATTCTCCCCAGTTCCTCCAAATACTACAAAATTAATGAATTCTCCCCAGTTCCTCCAAATACTACAAGATGCATATGGAAATTATGTCATTCAATCAGCTTTGAAGCTATGCAAGGTATATTTGTAGGGTTATTTGCTGTCTTAGACTTACTACCTGGCCTGTAATTTCATTATTACAGATAGACCCTCTTGGTCAAAATTTTTGGACTCTATTACCCTCAGATGAACTCACTAATACCAATTCGTTCGTTGCATTCACAGGGGGGGCTCTTAATGCTGCTCTTGTGGGGGCTATCAAGCCTCATGTGCCAGTACTACGGAGTCACCCCATATGGAAAGAAAGTTATCTTGTCGAGCAGCAACCTGAAGAAGAGGCATTGTGCACGATTCATTTTGTCAAGATCTTTCCAACCTTGTAACTTACGTTTCATTTATGCGCTCAAGAGAGTTTTGAAGAAAAATTTCACAGAAGAAAGTAGAATGCATGTCGATATAGAAAGAAGAAAAATATGTACATCTTTGTATAATGGTTATTAGCTTTTGCATTGTATATTTTGGAAACTCAAGTACTATAGGTAACTAAGAAGAACACAGGCTAAGAGAGCCAGTATGAACTACACATAAATGCTTTGCCAAATAAATGCATAAGTAGGAAAGTGCAAGAATCATGTTCAATCAATGGACGGTTTTACCCAGAATTAACCCAAGCATGCATATGAAAAGATCACAAAGGCCAATCAGAGCCTGCCAAAAGATTAAAATCATTGAAGAACTCACAGTAACTTACAGTAACCTGTGCTTCATAGGTGAAACAGAAATTAAAAGTTTACCATGTATAAACCAAGGCAACAAGATCAAGGTATAACTCATCAATTAATGAAGTACATACAAAATCAAATGCCAACCCTCCATAAAGTTTGTCTTTGTTCCAGACCTCACCACCTTCTCTCTTGGCAAAGGAGAGTTACAACCAAAGCAGAGTTACAACCAAAGTTACAAAACAGAGTTACAACCAAAGTTACAAAACAGAGTTACAACCAAAGCAGAGTTACAACCAATTGTGGATTCATCCTGTAATAGAGTAAACTGCAAAAGATATTGATCTAATTTTGTCAAAGTATGCTCCAACATCCTCCATCATCCATCACCCGTGCATAAGTTTAGCTGCAAATTACATGACAAATTATTAGGAATTAGTCAGAATTGGAAATGTAGGTAGATTGATGACAAATTAATAAGTGGTTTAGGAGCATTTACAGTATTGGCCGAAGTTTCACTTCCAATAACACTTGTTTCCTCCATTCCGAAATCCTAAAGAAGAAAACCAATTCCAAACATTGTGTTCAATGTTGCTTCAAAACTAAGGATGTAATGGTGAAAAATTAAAGATTGATACAGAAAAATGCAAGCAAACAAAAAACGAAAAGGAAACAAATCATAGAAACATGAAATCCCTATGACTGTTAAAGCATTAACCTGGATTTACTGGGCCAAGATGGATTGTTAAAGCACCATGGAATCCCTAGGACTGTTATATAATCATTTTGGAGGTAAAAAAAAAAATGCTAAATAGCAATATTAGAGGCCTCTCTCTCTCTCTCTCAGGCATATCCATGTCTCTTTCTTTACATAATTCAAATTTGTCATATATAGCGCTTCTCTTTATATTTTTTCTTTCAAGGGAAATTATGTATACTTATAAGCGCTTCTCTTAATTTGTAGTTAAATTCACTGAAATGGCAGAAAATTAACGAAGAAAAGGGTGCTGATGATTCAAGTAGATTAAGCATGCACGGATCTTGAAATCTAACTTTCATAGTATAATTATTAAAGAAAGCTTAATTTGGTAAGGATTCAAGTAACTCACGGTGAAACAATATTAGTGATCGAAGTAGCGAAATTAAAAAGAAATTAAAGAAAAATAAGTTACAAGAAACATGCAGTTTGGTGATCTCCTTTTTATGTCTATTTTTCTTGATTTTTTCTTAATTACTAATAAATCGAGACCTTGATTTATTACCTGACTTCGAATCGGGGCGGCGGGTCGGAGGGATCTCGCGGCGGAGGCGGGTCGGAGGGATCTCACGGCGGAGACCTTGGTCACGCGGCGGTGAAATCGAAGAGGGCTTGGCCGATCTGATCTCGCGGAGATCGTAGTCTAGCGGCGAATGAGAAATCGATGATGGTTGCGATTTGGGAGGAGGACGGGGGGAGATGAGATCGATTTGGGGATCTCTGGGGAACCGAGAGAGTTTTGTGGAGAAGAGAAAGAGAAGATCACGAGGGGAGGGGAGGATTAAATGTGCGGGTTTTTTTCAGATAAACCCCTGCAGCGCACGAAATGTCGAGCGCTGCAGGCTCACCTACAGTTTTCTCATAATAATATATATTATATAATAATATATTATATATTATATATATTATATTTATATATATATATAAGTATATATATATATATCATATATATATATATATAAGTATTTTATATATATTGGAGTATTATATATATAATATTGATAAAATGATACTATACAATAATATTATGTATGTATATATATATACGTTATTATATATATTATATAGTAATTATACTATATCATTATTATATACACATATGTAGTATATTATATATATACATATGTATTTATTATATCTACAATTTTATGTATATATATATACATATGGTTATTATATATGATATACACATATGTATGTATATATTATTATATATACACATTATTTATGTTATATATTATACACATATGTAGTATAGTATATATATATATAATATATACCTATTATATATATACTATAATAAATATATATATATATATATATATTATATATATAATATATATATATATATATATATATATATATATATATATTATATAATATATATAATATATATATATATATATATATATAAACTTATAGTGACCAGTCTTGATTTACTAAAATGCTGTGACGATAACTATTGCTAGAACTCGATCATCCCGCCGACGCTCTGGACTTGAGCTGCCCTTTTGACCAAGGAAAATTTAAACATAATAAGAACAACAAGAAGAGCGTCAGACGCGCATAGCAAGATCACCTCCATCCGCCCCAGGGGAAGGGCTTATAGATAAAGTGGAGGCTCTATCTATTAACTATAGTCTACCTAGATTATTTTTCCCATATCTAATGGAATTAATATTTAGACACCTATAATGCAAGACGTAGTACGTTGAGCGAAATAATCCAAACAAGGAAACCCTCATGTATATACCATATGTCTCAAATTATAGGTACCTAAATATTATCACCGAACTAGAGATAAACAATCTAAATGAAATCAATAATTAGAAACCCACAACACGAGACTAGTACGTCGAGCAAAATAATCCAAATAAGAAAACCCTCATGTATATACCATATGTCTCAAATTGTGAATCACTAATCATTGATCCCTACCTAAGAATAAAATAAAGCAATACATAAAGTAAAGACATTTATAATATCGTATTTATGATATCTTCCACTATCACTGGGAAGATAAGATAAATATCAACATATAATACCGCATACTTTCAAGGGCAAAGTACCTCGGTCATATATCTTAGCAATGAGTCATATACATAACTGGCATCTGCCATAGACTCAGACTATCAATAATCATCTCAATGTAAATCCTTGCAAGATTCTAATTCATCGTATAATCATGCGGGACGAACTACCCGGTCGGTATCCTAAACAGTGTACATGCCTCATTAGTCTCATTGCTTCTCAGTGCGTAACATGAGTACGGGACGGCCTACCATACAAGTATCCTAAAAGACAGCTCACAAGCCTCATCGCACCCTCATGTGGATAAACTACTAGAGAAAGCATCCAAACCTGACTCAATGGTCTGTACAAATGGAATATCGGTGCACTACCAGATGTAGTACTAAGCTGAGCTCATCAACGATATCCATCTCATATATAAACAGTGTATATCTGGTATATCGACGCACTATCTAATATAGTACTGAGCTGAGCTCATCAACAATATCCAACAAGTGCATAAACAATCTCTAACTCAAGTATAATCAGTTCAACACTTGTCAAAATACCCTTTGCAATACTCATGTGTGTACTACGACATCATTCATGTACAATCATGCCCGTACATGTACTATCGTGCGACTCAAACCCCGTGATTTCATCTCAAACAGTGCAATTTAATATTCAGGAAATCTGTCTTAGTAGTCGACTACTAAGCTTAGTAGTCGACTACTAAGCTTAGTAGTCAACTACACTGAGTCTATTCAGACTTTGTATTTAGGAAAATTGCCTTAGTAGTCGACTACTAAGCTTAGTAGTCGACTACTAACAACAACGATATAGCTTTTGCATGTTTCGTATATTGTAACTTGTTCAAAACAAATCTTTATTATCATGAAACATAAAGCGTGATTTAAACTTAATAGTTATTTGACAGATATTATCTCAATAATAATTATACTCTTAAATTAATCAAATTAGGGTTAACATCCTAATTAACCAAAATTCTCAATTTAAAACATGAGTTATTAACATGATTAGCATAAGCATGATTACAAATTGTGACGCCCCAGGGTTCACACGAGGCTGCAGTCCAACGCGAATCCCAGAATGTCAAACCTGCCATGCACCAACACTATGCAACAACATGTTTCACCATCACAACGGCTATCTCTCTAGTGGAATCAACAAATAGGTAAAGGTACAAACAGAGAAATAGTAATGAAATAGAACAAAGAAACAGAATATGCACAGAAGAAGTGTGTAAATAAATCACCACAAGGGCCCAACTGAAATAAAATAACTCTGAATCTGAAATCAGTCTCAATACAAGGGTCAAATAAAATCTCTCTAAGACACTTAGCCTCTACAAAGTAAAATCACAATCTCTAGAGTTTGAAAATAAACAACTACTGTGGAGCTCTGAAATGACTACAAATATAAATAACTAGATGGAATCTAAGATGTAATCCCATCAACCAGCGACTCTCCGTGCGCTGGACTCGCTGCTTGAAAGGGGAAAAAAATAACAAGCATCAAAGTGTTAGAGAGATCATCTCCACCGCCCCCAGGGGGAAGGGGTAGAAGTATATAAGAAAATACTATCAGTACATATAGATATAAAATCATTCATATAACTCTAAATGGAGACTGATATTTAAAAAATCACAACACGAGAATTAGTACGTCGAGCGAAATAATCCAAACAAGAAAACCCTTATGTATATACCATGTCTCAAATTGTGAATCGCTAAATACTAATTCCAAACCTATGAATAAAAAATAGTACATAAAAAACACCACAACTCCAAACCTCAACCATATAGAGCCAATGTCATAATCTCGAACTACCCTCAGGTAGTCGGCGCAGTCATAAGTAAATATCATCCAGCTCAAACATCACCATAGACCAAACCATGTATGCCATGTATCCAAAGTGTACCCTACTTACGGGTAATCTAACATGGGAGCAAACTACAACTGTGTGTGTGTGTGTGTGTGTGTGTGTGTGTGTGTGGTCCTTACTCAATCGTTCTACGACAATAGGTTTTATCTCCCCTATTCCGGATGATGCATCCAGATGATCGTACAATGGAATGTAGGCATATCAACCCAATCCGAAAACACCCCGATCATCTTCAAGTATTGGTGTCATCAAGCTCTCATTATGGGAAAACATCTAAATACTTTTAGTGTGATACAATCGAGGTCTCATTACGGGCTAAACATCCACACTGAGCTTCCCCAATGGATAAGTTTTGCAATATCATGTGTCATGCCAACAATAATCAACTCAAAACATGTGTTATGCACCTCAGCTATGCATATATACTCAATTTAGAAACATGTATTCAAGTGTTCATGCACGTATCTCGATGTGCGAACCTATATCGTGTGTTATGCACCTAAGGTGTTTAACAAATCATAAACATCATAGTACAATTTAAACTGATCGAGAAAATCCTCGAAACAAACCATTGTAGTTCAAGACATGCACAGAGTCATGCACATGGGGCGGTCGACCGGATCTTAGGCCACGGTCGATCGGCAAGCGGCCAAAAGACTGGTGACTACAGTTTTGTAGTTTTGTGTTCGTGTGCATGTTTCTTGATTCTAACTTGATTAACTTGCGGTAAAACATGTATAAAACATTTTAAATACTATATTAACACCTCTGATGATTATCTAACACATGAATAAAAAATCACAACATTAAATATTACATGTAAACCCTAAACATGCATGAATATATCAAATCGTCGATAAAATCATCAAAACTTAGTTAAATCACATGTTTAATTATTTTTAGATCTTATTTTACTTCTAAAAATTCGTTCATTATCTTTTAAACACAAAAAGATGTAATCTTTAACTCATATATTATAAAAGAGCTATTTTTATACTCAAAATGGTTGATTAGGCTCAATAAATCCATATTAAAACTTAATAAAATATTTAAAAACATGGGAGTAGAGTTAGTAGAGATAAAACTCACCTGAAACTTATTGAAAACCTAAAAGATGCAAAGCCAAGACAGATCCCTAAGCCACACGCCAAATTCAAATCGAAATCTCGCTTCAAAAAGCTCTTGAACTCTCACAAAATTATTCTAGGGTTTAGAAGAAATGATTGTGGCTGCTAGGGTTTTAAACTCTGAAATAAGATGTAAAAATTCATATTCAAGAGTTATTTATAACGTAGAAGTGGACCTAAGCCTCAAAATATCCGTTTCCAAATGGAATCAGGAAACTGGAAATACGATTAGCGATCGACTGCGCCTGGTGCGGCGGTCGACTGCGCCTGGTGCGGCGGTCGACTGGCTAGTGCACAAACAGTTTATGCAGTTTGGCCATCTGTGCATGTTTCTACTTGATTATTTCACATATACAAACTTGTTTGCACTTAAAATACTTGCTATGCCATCTGTGCATGTTTCTACTTGATTATTTCACATATACGAACTTGTTTGCACTTAAAATACTTGCTATCATACTCAAACATCATTTAATGATATTTATCACGATAAATATCCACTTATCTCAATTAATCGCATATTATTTTAAATTATCACATAGTAATTCAAATTTACGGGGTTTTACACAAATTTACTTAGAACAAATATAAATTCATTTAACTATGTTTACAGAACTTAGGTATCACAAATCTAGGGTTTAAGAAACTTTAATTAACATGTAAACTCAATTAATTGCATAACTAGGTTTTAAACATGATTAGAGCATGATTAACATGTTGATAATGAAACTAAAAGTAACCCTAATGATCATGATCATGAATCTAATGAGAACAACAAGG